AATGTACTATTACCTTGCGTTTTTGTTTTTGTTTTTTTTGTTTTGGGGCTTACATACGATGATGTTTCTCTAGGAAATTTAAGAGTAGGTAAAAGCTTGGTTCCAACCGACATGAGAACCGTTCTAGAACGGTAATTTCCAGTCGATCAATTCATTTGTCAGGGTTAGGTGGGTAATTGGATATTACTGGTTTTAGAACGGTTCTAATGTCGGTTGGACCACAGCTAATGAATAGACTTGAAATCGAGTAAGTTGGTAGGTATACAGTTATTTTACAAGTAGTACAAGTACAAGAGGTACAAGAGGTCCCTCAAAAATTATTGCATCAACGCGCCACTTTGTTTACTTGCCAGAGATTTTATTTATTGGAAAATTTGCCTTCGGCGCTATTTTCCCCATTTTGTTTACCTATAAAAAATTTACCTGTAACAAAATGGGAAACTAATGGAAATCAACTTGCAAAATCGAAATTAGGCGAAAATGGACCCCCTTTTACATTTAATTTTTTTCTGAAAAATCACTAGAGAGTGAATTTTGGAAATTTCAGGAGAAAAAGGGCAGAGTTAGGATATCATCATACTAATATTTCAAAATGAATATGCACCTCTCAAAAATTCGTCTAGCAAATTTCACCAGAAATGATATTGATTAGGCTCAGATGACTTCTGGACTTTGTTTGCCTACAGGGGGGCTCACCTAAAAAAAGTAACACAATGGCAGAAAAACTGTTCGTGGATCTGTAGTTTGATGACTCAAATCATTTTAAATGTGCTAATAACATGAATAGAGCATGAAAAAAACATCAAATACTTCAAAGTTATTCATAAAACCTCAACATCAACACCCTGAACTTAATTTATTTGTTTACATGAAAGCCTGATGCATAATCCAGGCATTTGAAAAATGAAAGTCAGCTCTAATAAGTCATATTTTTGTTAATGAATGTAAAGAAAATGCTCATATGAACATAAAGAACAAGTCAACAGCTGTTCAGCTCGTGTTCCAAAGTGTCCACATTTTTCCGGATAATTACCTTGGCTCCTGGAATATTATTAGGACTACTAATCAAATATTGACCGAATTCTCATAAATCCTTTAATGACTGGCTTTGCAAGAGTATACCCAACATCTCCATGAGTGTATCAAAAAAATTGAATACTTTCAAATTGCCTTTTTGAAAAATATAGCTACAACTGGATAGCTACATATCTCTCTAGCAATCAGCTAAAGAGTACTTTTGTGTGATAATATGCACCTTCATATTGAATTAATTTTGAAAATAGTTAAAATTGTTAGTGGACTACCACTAGCAATTACCCAAAGCTTAAGTTAGTATTAATTTGGGTTAGTTGTGTTAAGTTGGTTGGGTTGTTGCTAATGGTAGTGGCTTGAAATTTGCGATAATTAGGACTTATTTTGAGACACTTTTAAGACATTGGAGCACAACACAAAAACATCTTTGGATGATTTCCAGTGAGAGTAGCTAACATTTGTAGCTATGGATTTGAAGTGGCTTAAACAGCCATTCAATTGAAAAATGGACGAAAATCAATTTTTTTGGGACAGCATTACAGCATTCTATTATAACAGTACCTACATCCAGCATACAGCATTCTTTTCAAACAGTACACAGCATTCTCTCACATAATTCATTCATACTTTCTCTTTTTTTAACGCACTTTTGGAAAGCCAATCCAAAAAAAAAATCAATGATGGAAATAGGCGCGTAAGATTTTCTCGAAAACTTCTTTCTCTGACATTAAAAGTTCTAATTCTTGGATCTGGACTCTCTATAAAATTTACTAATTGCCCAATAACTAGTGATGCCGCGAGACTCGAGACTGGTCTCGTCTCGTGTGGTCTCGTCTCGTCTCGGCTTTTCGAGACAAGACTGGCTTTTGGTCTCGTCTCGTGAAATCTCGCCGAGACGAGACCAGACTCATCGAGAGTCTCGCGTAGTCTCGAGTCTCGATATTACAATTAAAATTTTTCTTTCATAGCTCTATTATTGGACTATTCTGGGCTATTTGAATATGAAATCAGTAAATTTTAATACTAACAATTAATGGGATGACGTTTATAAACTTTAAAACTTCGTTCATTTGTCGGATGCTCTTGTGAATGTTTTGACGGGATTATATTGAGGATTTTACATGCTCATAAATTTTAAACTGTTTTTCTGTGTTTCTAATTTTATATTTGTATTTTTATGGACGTATTCTTTATTGCTGACGTAGATTAGGTAGGAATAGGTATAAAAAAATTTGAATCCATAAATAGAACATTCACTGGATTCATCTCCTTCACTTTTTGTTTTAGTTCGTGACTACACCGCTGTGCGCCTGTATCGCCGTTTTTTAACGTCCATTAAACATAATAATGCATATCTCATCTTATCAACTGAATTGATTTGTTGAGTGGTTGAGGGCATCGTCGTTGATTGTTTTGTGAAAGAAGTGATAAGTGCACAATAAGCAGCCGATTTAAGAGTTGTTGCCACAGTGTGTGACCAGGCGGCAAAAAATAAATCAGTCATAAGCAAACTGCTGCGACAAAGGAGGGATATCTACATCAAAAACAGCACAGATTACAGAAAGTTGGTTTTGCTCATGAGTCAGATATGCCAGATCATCTAGATTATAGACTATTTTAGTCATTAGATGATTCTCACATAAATATATGAAAATAAAATAAATAAAATTTCAGTTTATGAAGTTTTGGAGCACTGCCGTATTCTGAGAAAATTGAAATGTGAAACCAGTCATTTAAAACTGAGATTCAAACGGCTCGCCAAATATTAGTTCAATGACTACACTGCTATGGCAGCACCGTCGGAAATGTCACTTGGCGACTACAACAGAAGTGAGCGTTCTATATCAAGAATTTAAATCACTTTTCTATGATCAGGACAATAAAGCTTATTTTGAATTTGAATTTTGAATAATGTTTTAGAGTGAGTTTCACCTAAGAAGGTACATTTCAGGACGACTGGTGAATTCGCAGATTCACGGAACTTACTTGGTGCATATTAGGAACGCTGAGCAGTGCATAAAGGATTAAGGAAGAATTTTTGGTCTTTTGTGCGGGACAAGAGGAGCCGGACTGGGATTCCAGGTATTGGGATTCGGACGATCCGTACTCTATACTCTACGGCTCAAGATATCGTCAGTACTCTCGGCAGATTTTTCCAAAGTGTTTACAATAAGCGAAATCCAACTATCCTCAGAATCAGTATTCGAGGAGTTACCGACCTTATCACTCACGTCAGAAACCGACCCTCCAAATTTTATCTTAGAGGGTGGGTCTACACAGATTTCCAGAAGGCTTTCGACGGAATCGATCATTACTCGTTGCTTGTTATACAAGTTGGAGCACTATGGCTTGTCTTGCGGCCTCATTGGCATGGGCCTGTTTGGGCCCTATTCGTGGAGCAGATCTCAGTCAGTTGAGCATGATGTTCATCCCTACTTCTGGTGCACCTCAAGAATCCAACCTGGGTCCTCACTATTTAATATATGCTGATGATTTGAGGCTTTCTTACCGATAGTCTCTGTTGAGGATTGTCTAACTTTATAAAAACGTATAAATCTTCATGATGATTGGTGACCTTGACATTGCCAAATGCAATACTGTGAGCTCTCACGGACTTAACTCCAGTAATCTTTGATTATTTAATTGGCGGGCTTAGGCAAACTAATTTTTGATTACTATCAGCTTTCCTTTACTTCACTCGTTGTGCATGTTTGCACTGCATCATTTCAAAAGCTGGGTTTCATTACCTATCCAAAACAGTGAACATTTCACCAAGAACTACTTTAGAGCTTTTGTATTAGGTACACTTTTATTCGCTCCAAGTTGGAGTACGGTTCTTTAATATGGACTTCTATGTCTGCCATGTAGCCAGTATCGAGTCCGTTCAGAGATTTCTTAAATATGTATCATACAGACTGGGTCCCTATTCTTGAAACAGGAGAGCAGCTCTCTCAGGAGAACCCTGGGAACGCTGCTCCCCTGTTACGAGAATAAGAACCCTGGTTGGTAAGTACGTATCCCCTCAGGGGTCTCGACCATAATTTGTTTTATCGCGACAAAATGAGCTATACCCATGGCGATTAGAGGGAAGGTTCTTGCTGTTGAATTTTTATACAACCTTCTTCATAACAGGTGGATTGTATTTTTCTTGTTAACAAAATCGCTTTACATGTACCCCATGTTGGACGAAGTTACTAGCCTACCTTCCACACACAGTCCGCTGGAACAAATATGGTGTATAAGAGTTCTATGCACTTCATATGCAGCGTTTTCAATAGTCTCTCACCTTTGCGATATTTTAGCGGATCCTTTCTCTCTGATTGCAAGTACGATCTTGAATTCTTGATTATTAGAATAAGTATACCAGATTTAGATTTAGTTATAGAATATTGTATTCTTTATAGGGCTAAGTTAAGTACCTACTATTATTGTGCCTCTGCATCACCTCTTATATCATAAAGAATAACCAAGCTTATAATCTTCACTGACACATGCGTATGCTTTTTGAGTACATTTCCTGTAATTAGGTTTCACCTGTTGGAAATGAACACCTATTAATTTATACCTGACTATTGATATTTGTCCACTCCCCTCTGCTTATTTACGAACTAATGCTTTGTGTTAACACTCCGCTTATCTACTCAGATCTACTGTATTGTTTTTTCGAAATCCAAACCTACTGCACCAGATAATAATTATTCCTCAGTTGGCCTGCCTGAACTAATCTCTAGTGTCGTATTTAATCCTTTGAGTTTGGTGTTCAAAATCGAGTCAACGCTTACTCTATTCTAGGAAGGGCCTCTTATTGCAGGTCAATGTTTATCTGTTGCTTCAATTGATCTATTTCAGTGGAACGGTACCACTCCACTATACTCGATGCTGCTTACTTGGAAATCGGCCTTGGACTTAACTTTTGTCTTAGAACTCAATCATTTGGTCTTTCAATCCACGCCTCCAATTAAAGACAGTTTAATTTGTATTAAATTCGTTTATTTACAATCTACCAAAAACTAGATACACTTAAAATGACCTTAAAACTATACAAAAAAAATCGTGTGTATAAAATAAAAATACAAAATTTCATACAAACTATTAAATACTTCATAAATATCAAACAAGAATCTACTACCTTTGCATCGACGTCGTTCGGGTAAGAAGTATACTTATTATTAGCACAAAGCACAATTATAAATATAATAAAACAAATATAAAAAACAATAGTAGATTATTCGAGAAAAAAAAAGACAATGCAGAACATAAAATATGGCAGTGAAATTTTGTTAAAAATTACACAAAACTAGAAACTGTCTTATCACATTGATAAATTTATTCATGATTCATTAGAAATACCTTCTTTACTGAAAACAAGGCCAATATCTGTACGCATAATATAAAATTATAGATGTAGTCAAAGACTGGATGTAGCTGAATTGTACAAAAGTAGCACTATAGTAAACCTGAAGCGGATACCGCCCATTTGAAAACCATCATTTTTCTTTAAACATATTTACTTCTTCGTATATTTACAATAAATAGTTAAGTATATTCCTACTGTCAAAAAGAAAAAAGTAAAACACAACCCTGAATTCTTATTCCGAAAACGAAAAAATTGAAATTCTATCGTCTCGTAGGTGGCGCTGGCGTGAATTCTTGACACCCTTCAACATTTTCGGGCCAATCACAGACGTTTTGATTAGGGTTGAAGACCAGATTCGCCGGACATGGCATGTGATGTTTTCGTTCTCCTTCGCACATGTAGTACATTTTACAGTCGGCTTTGTCCGGATGGTAGCTGATGTGACCATCTTGTTCATCACAGGTTATTTCATTTGCTATAAAGAAAATTAATATTGTACCATCAATTTCAATATTCCCAATCCAGACCAAGTGTCTGAAATTAACTTACGATCTTTGGTAGTATATTGTCCAGACCCAATGATAGTCTCATAAGGACCTTCAAACTCAAGTTTGACTTTGTAACCTTCAAGCTCTTGCCTCATTGCATTTATTAAAGGATATTTGCCGTTTCCGCAAGAGCCTCTGAAATCGTCCATGTCCACCGACCAAATCATTATGCCTCCAAAACCTTCTTCTTTCAACCAGGCCATCTAAAAACAATTTTGTTAACGAAAAAATTATTCAACAAAATTTCAAAGAATTACTTTTGTCTTCAAACTTCTTTCATCATCGAATCCAACCCATTGGTTGCCTTGGTAAGCAAATGGTACTTGCTGCTCATTATCCCACACCAGCGTGACGTTATCGTCGTGCAAAAAGTCACAAACTTCATAGTAACTCATAAAACCAGCTTCGGAAGTGTATTTTCCAGATTTTCCTCCGCCACTAGCTGGAGCTCCAATATCAAATTGAGTGGTGTTCACTAGCTCAAAACTACGACCATATGTAGGCATACCAATCATCAATTTTTCTTTTGGTGCTCCTTGTTTCACCCATTCTCTAGCAGAGTAATCCTGGAAGAAGACAGTTCATGAAACTTGAGAGAAAAGCAGACAGATGAATACTTACCACTGTCAGTTTTTTCTGATAGCTTGTAGCACTTTCCAATGGGAACAAAGGACTATTATGTCCTACAGTCCTCTCCCATTGTCCATGGAAGTCATATGTCATAACGTTAATGAAGTCGAGGTATTTTGATATTTCGGGTACGTCATAGCCTGCTGCTATAGCTTCAAACGAGGCAGGTACTGCTGCTGTTAAAAGAAGACGTGGTTGACCGCTGGTTTTTGCTTCACCTTCAAATGCCACTCTAAGTTCTTTGAGCAACGAGACATAGGCTACTCTATCGTCAGCGCCTAGAGACAAAAGATGGCTAACATATATGATATTGAGCAATAAATAAGTAAATAAGTACCTCTTGGGTATTCCCAGTCAACATCTAAACCATTGAATTTGTACTCCCTTAAGAAGTCAATGGCATCGTAGACAAATTGGTTCATTCTAAACACGTTGCTTGTCAAATCTTTGAATGGGGTTGATCCAAAAGCCCACCCACCAATGGCTAATAGAACCTAAAAGCAGCTTTTTATGAAAATGCTACGAAAACCCAAAAGTTTTACCTTCAAATCTGGATTTTTATCTCTCAGTGCAACCACTCTGTCATACATATCTGGATCTTTATCGCTGCCTTCAGCTAATTTATGGTCTTCTAATGTGGCGAAAGCGTAGATTACGTGGGTACAAAGAGCTGGATTGATGTCTTCGGGAGTGAATTTTCCTGCTCCAGGACGTTTTTGCGACCAGCTGGTCATGTAGCAGAATACTTGAGGTTTTCGGACTAAAATTAAATAGTTACTAAGATGTGTTGGCATAAATCACATTGAAAAATAAATAATTCGATCAACAGATGAAATTTCCTTACCTTTTTTGTTGATGGCATTTTTGTGCGCCTTCTTGCCAGGTTTTCTGGCACGTTTCAAGACTTCTGAAACACCAATTTTCATTGGTTTGGGCTTTTCTACTACATCTTCTTCCTCTTCATCGTCCTCGTCTGCACCAGCGATGGCTTGCCAGTCCATATCTTTCGCGTCTTTGCCACGTGAAATTCCTCTCAGTTCTTCTCTGAAAATGAAATCAAACATTTAGGCCAAGGATCTCCTCAGAGTTCAAAGAAGATTTATTATTTCAAATAGCTCAAAGTAGTATACCAAAGCGGGTTCCACCACAAAAATCTGAACATAAGGGGCTCTGGTCGAAGTGAGTGAAAGCACCAAGCACATAATAAAAACTTTTTGAGCAATTGAGCTGAACATGAAAAACTGGTTTTGGGTACTCAACATTACATTACACGTCACGAAACACAAGTGGCAACTGTGTAATAATTGAAAAAAAAAATTAATAAGAAACGTTGATAAATCAACCGGTACATCACCCCCTTGTGGTCCTCCCTGCCAAACACCCATTTACATTACTGTCTCCTGACAGCCTCTCATCCTGGATAACAGACCCCATCAACTTCTTCTGACTTCCCTTCTTAAATAGGGTAAATTTCGGTTTCAAGTTCAGTGTTGTGGGTACTCTGACACCTCACCTTCGAACTAGCAAACCGTCGAAAGGGAAGAACCCAATGGTAAAGTAAAATCTAAAAACCCTGGTTACAATTCGGGCTTCTGGTTGAATAAAACGTGCTCTTTGCTCACACGACAACTCAACAAAATGGCATAGATTTTCGTCTCCAGAAAATTCTGAGTGGTTGGCTTACAATTACGTGGACTTACGACCAAATCCAAGTTTTCACCCCAAAACCAATTAAGCCAGCAACCACTTGAGTCCCAACGCCTCTAAAATCCCACAAAAGGTGGTTGTTCCAAGGAACGAAGCAAAGAGGGCCGCTGGTAAAATCTGCCAACTACTTGTTGCTTGCTCAACGTGCGAATTTAGAGAGAACGACCCTATTTTCTGCAATTTATCAGTTGAGCTCATATGAAAAATTCCTCAGAATTCTATTTTTTTCCAAGATGCCCTGTGGTGCCAGATTTCCGGTCTTGACCAGGAAAACGAGACAATAAGCTTGAAACGAACAACCCAAACCACATTGATGACCAACAAAACTCAGAGTTGTTATCTAATTTTCTTCCCTAACACTAACTAATTAATTAATAATCATCATCTACCCAGTCTTTATTACAAAAACTATCAAAATCACCACTCGTTCATTGGTAGCAACTACAGTGACTCTATTACCCACAGTGGTCAAGAAACCTCGGCAACAGCGCTGCCTAAAACGAATCAACAAGTATCCTATAACCACACTTATTCGGCGAAAATAAATAACCAGGAAAATATAAATATTAGTGGAAATAAGGGTGAAACATTGATTTAAAGGGTGTGGAAGTGATTTGTGGTGTTGCAGAATTTTTAATAATGGAAAATACGAGACTCGTAAGTGTTGCCAATTGATATTTATGTGGAAGTAAACAAACCTTTTCATCGACATTTAGGGCCTTTTAGACAACTTTCGTAAACTAAATAAAATAAATTTCGATCCTATTAGAAGGGTTTTATTATCCTAATACTACCCTGTCATCTGAATACAAAGAATTAACTCAGTATTACCTCGAAAAATATGCCTTTGTTCAACACAATATGTGGGTGTTTTGCATTCAATCAAAAAGGTAGAAATCTAGTAAAATCCAATGAGAAACCTATCAATCACTGAAAAATATTAAACCTCAGGTGTAAAGCTTCATAAATACCCTCACAAATACCTGAATCAATTACCGAATTCATTCGAAATCTCAGTTACGCACTAAGGCAAAATTTGTACGTAACAATGGCGTCATGATGTTTGACAGATGGCGCCATGACGTTCGACAAAATAATCTATCATTTTGAACCAAGAAAACACCTGATGAATTAAAAATAGGGAATCTGCTGAAAAATTCAATTTAGACTCGAATTTTTTCACAAGTCCTTACCTCATTGCTCCAATCAAAGGATATTTGACATCACCCCCACAAACAGTTCCAGTGAAATCATCCATATCCACAGTCCACACCATAGCTCCACCAAAGCCACCCTCTTTGAGCCACTTCATTTTGTGTCTGATAGACTTTTCATCGTCAAATCCAACCCATTGATCACCATCGACTAAGTATGGTACCTTCATTTCGTCATCCCAGTAATAAGTGGCGCCACTTTTCAGCATTTCACAGATTTCGTAGTATGCCAAGAAACCAGATTCTTTTGTGTACTTGCCTTCTTTTCCACCTTCACTTGCTGGTGCGTGCACTTTATGTTTGCCAGTGCTGGACAGTTTGAATGATCTTCCATAAGTAGGCATACCTGTAGAAACAAATAATTTTTAACACATTCAGGACTTGGAATTCTTCAATTATTTACCAATGATAAGTTTCTCCTTAGGAGCTCCAAGTTTCACCCACAAATTTGCTGCATGATCAACATTTAGTTGTTTCTGGTATTGACTATCGGAGCTTGGAGAGTACAGTGGAGCATTGTGTCCAGTTTCTTTTTCCCATTTTCCATGGAAATCGTAGGCCATGAGGTTAATGAAATCTAAGTAAGAGGCCACTGCGGGTACGTCGTAACCTCCTTTAATGTTATCGGGGCCTACAGGAACAGCAGCTGATAGGAGGAGACGGGTTTTCTTTATTTCTTGGGCTTCAGCTTCAAAAGCTTCGCGGAGTTCTAGAAATAATCATTATTGTTTATAAATTTCTAATGAAGTCAAACAATGTTAATGCTATTATCTCTATTATAGCAGCATAATTAAGATTCCTTTCAAATTACTTGTATAAGTGCACCTTACAGTGTTATATGTTTCATTTTAAAATTACCTAATTACCATTCTTCAAATTAATATTAGAAGAATTTATGATGCGGTAAAGTAATAATTGATGTTAATTAAAAACGGAAGTAGGGCATCAGTATAATGATGATAAAAGTAAAGATAATCAACACAGACAGGAAAATATATATTGCTAATAATATCTTGATCAGTATGGACGAAAGACCATCATAGACCATGAACAAGCATTCATATAACAAATATTTGAGAAGTGAGACAAGCATTAACTTTAGAGGACACTACTGATAAACCTTCCAAAAAAATTAAGTAACTGAGGTATAAAACCCATTATAAGAAGAGCAATGCATGCGAAAGAAACATAAATTTACATTATAATTATTCATATAAATAATGAAGACGGCATATTACCTTTCAATAATAAAACGAAATTCTTCTTATCAGTACCTCCACTAGGATACTCCCAATCTAGATCGAGCCCATCAAATCCTCTGTCTCTCAAAAATGGAATGGCTGAAAAGATAAACGTTTGCCTACTGTACCTAGTAGCTGACATCTCTTTGAACTTTTGCGTGCCAAACGACCAACCACCAATAGCCAGCAACGTTTTCAAGCTAGGATTAGCCTTCTTCAATTTTTGTATCCTTTCATACAACCCGACTTTTCCGTCTTTCGTTTCATCGTTGCTCTCGAAAGAGGAGAGTTTTCCTTTTTTTAACCATCCGAAAGCGAAGATAATGTGCGTGCAAAGGTCTGGTAAGATGTCTTCTGGGGTGTATTTACCAATTTTAACTCTAGAAACAGAAAACCGTTTAACAGTAATAATACATAATTAGTTATATGGTTTACCTATATTGTGACCAGTTGGTGTAGTAACAAACCACTTTATAACCATCTTTGTCTCGTTTATCGGTGCTGGCGCTGACGTCATTGTCGGAAGTCCTTTTCTGTCCCGGCCTCGTTCTACGGAATTTGTTTACGCTAGAAGACACTTCTTGGTCTTTGGATACTGTGGTGCTTTGTGCTGTGGATTTCAATGGACGGCGCAGTCTTCGTCTAGATGCTAGAAAATAATTGGTATAGATATAGATTATTAGTGAAGGCAAGTTAGATTTATGCTCTGCTGATTGCTTTTTTGAAACTCTTGAAAAAAAGCGATATGGGGTGAACAACCTTAAACTTTGGCCATCTTGGAAAGGCCATGACTCAGGAACGAAGGGCCATAGGAAGCCCCTATTTTATTTTTTGTACAACAGCTTATTATATTATTCATAGAGACAGTTTAAGATAAAAGTAAATAAAATTCAATTTCAGCCAAATTTCTCGATAATATTCTTATCCTGATTCTCTTCGTTTCACGACTTTTCCCAGAGCAGTGTTGATCTTGCAGTCGTTGGAATTCGAGATAAATCCATTGACGTAAGATTTTCCCACACATTCTCACACTCACAATTCCTGATGTCATATTTTTACTCACAACAAAGATGCTTAATCTTATTATCCTATGTCTGGACCTGATGATAGACTCGTCAGATATGCTGACAGCCGGAGTGGGAGGAACGTATTGGAGGCAGCCAAAGTGGGAGGAACGTATTGGCAGCGTACATAACTTAGTCCAAAGGATTTTGCCAACGGTCTGAATACTTTTTATACTGAGTCCCTCTGAAAATATTCCTCCGTGTAAGGTAACAGCAAGTAAGACAAAACTACGCCAGGAACCTTGCCAACTATTCACCCACTAAACAGTTTTAGTGCAAACTAAGCTCACAAGTAACCACTTTTCAGCATCACCCACATCCAAAAAACCACTTTTGCTGAAAAACCATAGAAATCCTGCACTCTCCTAAAGTACCGAACAATCGAACGTCCATGAATGATGCGAGCGGTGCGCGCCTTTTTAGCGTGAAAACAATTATTATCACAAAACTAACTCTTCACATAGGTACGTTTTCTTAATCAAGAGCGTTCTTCAAAAACTGGGACTCACTGGTACCAACACTCGAGCAGTTGGAGGAAAGCGCCACAACCTTGCAAGACATTTGTTCGAGGTCTTGCAAACTGTTTATAAAGCAAAAAATGGTGTACGAAACTAATCAAGACTGGTGGAATGGCGAACTGCGAAACTTAAGACAAACGAGGAGATGCAGAAGGGAAAGTCAGAGTGAACTGGACCCGATAAGAAAAACGACATTAACTCAGAGACACACAAAAACTGTTAAAACAAACGTACAAAAGAGCCATTCAGGAGGCAAAAATCAAAGCCGTCCAAGAAAAGGTCGAAGAGACCTCAAACAGTGAGCCATGACATCGTTTGTGGAAAATAATAGGAAAAAGGAGCCCAAGTAAAGCTTCGTATACGAACAACGAGGAAGAGACAAACAGATACCTACTAGACAAATACTTCCCAGAAGATAGCCTAGAACAAGACACCGGCAGCATGAGAAGCAGTAGAACCAGGCAAAGAACATAATATAGTACAACGAACGACCGAGAGAGCTAGACGTCGTCATCTCGGGGCCAAAGGCAAAGAAAGCCACAAGTAAGGATAAAATCCCAAACGAGGCCATATTACACATACACAAGGCATCACCTCTTAGAAATATACCAGGAATGCTTGAAGAGAGAATACTTCCCCAAAATTTGGAAAAAGGCCACAATAGTATGGGATCCCTAAAAAAATTGGCACCCCAAGGCCGATAAGCCTACTTCCTACGCTGGGTAAGGTACTGGACAAGCTGATAAACAACAGGCTACAGCTCCACCTTGAGAGGACGAACAACATCGACGGCCGACAATTCGGGTTCGGGGAGGGTACCGGCACCGTGGAAGCGCTACACTCTCTGAACGAAACCCTGGACAAGACAAGGAGCACCAGCTAATAGTAGGACTTAATCTGAAGAACGCCTTCAACTCACCCTGGGAGACAAACGTCAGGGAAAAACTGCAACTAGCGGAAACCCCTAACAACCTCAGACTAATCTGTGAAAGCTACATGAAAGGAATCAAGTCTAGGTCCGACATTATGGTTACTGGTCATGCAGGGGTGGTTCAGGTATATGGACAAAGCCAACGAGACATGAGTCAGGACGCAGAACGGCAGGCTAGCTGATGTGCAAGCGTACGCTGATGACAAACTTATCATAACAGAAATCAAGAAAAAATGAAACGCAGTATGGGCAGCGTGCAAAGAATGGGAAGGCATTAGCGATGCAAGATACAACGACCTGAAAACAGAGACACTTTACATACCAAAGGGCAAACGCACGAGAGAACTGACGATAAAAACAGACGGAAAGACAGTGAACTCGGGGAGCATATCAGGCACTTTGGACTAATGATTGACAAAGAACGAAACTACGTACAATACATGAAAGCCACTAGGACAAAAGTCTCAAAAATGGCCATGACTCTGAAGGGCACAATCAATAGAATATGGGGACATAACAGGCAAGTTGTAAAAGAGATCATGGACAAGGTATTCAAGCCAATTCTGTACGCGAGCGAAATATGGAGCGGAAAAGCGAACACGACTTTTGGCAGGAGACACCACTACAGCCAACTGTGCATTGCAGGTCATGGCGGGATTATCACATTTATAACTTGAAGCCGAGGAAAGAAGAGAGACTGGTTGAAGACATCCAGATGGCAAAAACTAGGACAATCGACAGACCACACACGACGACAAGGGGAAGAAAGATGGAGAGGGCAGGGCAAGAGACCACGGAGGTCCATGTGGACGCCAGTGCGAGCCCGGAGGGTAAAATGGGTATTGGAGTCTTCTGGATGACAGAACCTACAGATTTAAATTCAGAGCCCCAGATCACCTGAGAACGGATATAGTAGAACTGACGACAATCCTGAAAAGACTGCGGCTAGCTGGAAGAAGTGACAAATATAAAAATCATGACGGACAAAAAAGAACTCATAGACAGACTCAACGTGGGGAGGGGGAAAGACAAACGTATCGTACACACCCTAAAAACAGCCGAAAAGCTGATGGACGAGGGGATAGCGGTAGAATTCGGATGGAGGAAGGGACATGACGAGACGAACTATGACAATAAAGAGGCTGACGAGCTAGCAAAACAAGGACAGACAGAAAACTGTATACTGTTAGGGGATTCCATTTGCTATCGAGACACGAAATCGAATCGCTTTCGTAATACATACCAAATACGAAATCGAGACCGGAAGCGCCTAATACGATATCGTATTGTCAATTGGAATCCGGGCCCTGGACGCCATACTCATTCACCAGCAGACAGATGCGCAAGATAAATAGGGAACGGCGGATACTAGAAAGATTGCAAAGGGTGTGGGATCTGGAACCCAAGGGCAGATAGCTATACAGACACTGTGCTGGAGTGGGATTGGACAGGTTGGACCTGAGCTTCAAGGCAACCCAACTGGCTACAGGCCATGGGAATTTCCAGTACTACTCGCACCGTTTCACCGTTTGCACGCCACAAGGATTCGGATTAGGAAAACAAATTAGGATTAAGAAAAACTAGAATAAGGGCTTGCATACCAACATAGGTAAGAGAAGACTCACAACCCGCTAACTATCCATGGTCGGAGTTAGTTGGGTGTAGGGGTTCCGGAACTAGGAGCAGGTGTTGCCTTGACAATGGTTTTGTTACCGATCCGGATATTTTAAGCTTAAGACGAAAGGCGGGAAGGGTCTGATCTCTCGATTGAATGGTACCAACAGGGTGGAGGCTGAAATAAACTGCAAACTGGCGGAGACCATGCTTGATTTTCACGATATGTTGGAAAAGTCCAAGAGCAAATAGAAGAGGTTGGCGCCCTTCAAAAAGGCAATGAGACTACGGGAGACATAAGCAGCGAGGATGAAGCCCGCTACAGAACTCTCAGGGGCAAAACTGATGGGAGAGAAAAAGAATTGCTGAAGAAAATCGCAGCCCAGAAGAAGAAAAAGAAAAGGTCTGAATATATCAACGTAAAAAAGGCAGAAGAGACACGCAAGCATACGCAGATGACCAGTTCAAAGTCGAACGCAAGTGGGAAGCAGTCTGAAAAGCATGTAAGGCGTGGGAGAAAACTAACGACGTCACATACAACCAAGACAAAACAGAGACACTTTCCATGCCTGGACATAAAAACACAAGAGAACCCAGGATAAAGATCTACGACAAGAAAATAAACGCAAATGAATATTTGAGATACCCGACTCAACTCACTTTTCACAGACAAAGAAACTACATTGAGCCAGATTGAATACTTGCGTGTTACTAGAATCAAAGTGACAAAGCTGGCGATGGCAATAAGAGACGTCATAGAGAGGTACTCACAAAAGTACTGAATCCAGCAGTCCTATATGCATGCGAGATTTGGAGAGAAAAAGCGAACATCTCTGCTCCTAATGAGCGCATATAATAATAATAATAATAATAATAATAATAATAATAATAATAATAATAATAATAATAATAATAATAATAATAATAATGACTTTATTGAAACCCTGAAAAAAAAGTTACAAATAGTGAAGTTGAAGCCTGGCTTCCTCACTTAACCTAATGCTACGACCGCAAACTGTGCGCTACGAGCCATGGCGGGTGTCCCACCGCTCTGGCCCGAGGCAAAGCAATGACATAGGCAGAGGAGAGAAGGCGAGACTGGATCGACCTTCACACAAATATACAGACAGGAAAGCTCAGACCAATAGACAAACCGCACCCTATGACAAGTGGCAGGCTCCGAAACTGAGTGGCGGAAAACTGAATTTATAAATTTGTACACGCCGGTACAAATCAATAAGGAAGAACCGGCATTGGCGTACATATCCTACTTGGTGACAGAGTTGAACAACGAACAAAGAGAGCTCCTGACGAAACAAATACAGACAAGACAGAGATGATGGCAATCAAAGGCCTCGCCTCAAATTGGGGAGGAAACTACGAATTGACCACATGACATTGATAACAGATAGAGTCCAAACGATAGAAAGAATCACGAAGAATAAATTATAAGATAAGCTCACAGCGCATGTCTTGAAGCTAGCAGCCCTAGAACAAGACGAAAGGGTAAGATTCATATGGAAGAAGGGCCATATTGAAAATAACCTGGGAAACAAGGCAGCAGACAGGCTGCCCTACAAAGTCACGAAACAGAAAGAGGCCTGCAGACCTATCTACACTACCTATACCAATTTCCACGTTCCCTCGGTCTCAATCAATCGACACCTTGATGGCTTGTTTTATTGCTCCCTTAACTATTTAATTTGCCTTTCGCAACTGTTTTTCATATTGAGGCCTTTGGCATCCAGTCGATGTTGGGTTCCTTCGACACTGTGGGAAAAACTCCTCTTCTCTTTGAGTTTTCATATATGTATGTCAGCCATCTGCTCTTTTTTTCCCTTCTAGATATGAGATAGAGCCTCTTCCGGTATTTTGTAATTTAATGTAATGATCTATGCCCTCAGTACAAAGCCCGTTTTGTTGGAGCCTCTCCTCTGTCAAGGACGAATGGTAGGTATTCCTCCAAAGATTCCATGTTCATTTTTCGGTTACATAAAGTCTCTTCCCCAAAATGTCAGTACGGGTTTCTCTTGTTTGTGCCACATGAGTTCCAGAATTTCCATATTTTTTCCGATTCGTTAGTGTTTTTATTCAGACTTAATGGCCGTAGTAAGTTGGAATTTCTTCCTGAAGTTTCGCTAGCACGCGTGGCTAGCATCTTCAGAGGTGCTTCCATGTCCGATTCTGGTAACAGACTGACGCATTCTTGACCGCAAGTTGTATTTATGTGTGAGTGGTTGTGGTGCGGGAGGGGCGTGGTTTCGCAGCACGTGGCTAATCTGACTTTTCTCTGTACTCAATGGGATCTTTCTTACGTTTTTGAGGATCGGTTCCAAGTTTGGTTGAGTTTTAGTTTCTTCTTTCCTGTTGAAGTTCTCCGTATCTTTGTGGATTTCTATAGGTTCACGTACAAGACGATTGTGGTATCCGGAAGTCGGCGGAAGAAGCTTGAACTCACCAAATAGTATTTCGTGATTTCCTTCACTAAGCGCATGTTCCGCTACTGCCGATTTTTCCGATTGTCCTAGTCTGCAGTTTCTTTTGTGCTCGTTGATCCTGGTTCCAATGGATCTTTTTGTTATTCCTATGTATACCTTACCAATGTGTATGGTATACGATAGACTCCAGCGCTTGAGAGTGGGTTCCTCGTATCCTTGGCTGATCTGATTGATTGCTGTATTTCCCTTGTTGGCTTGAAGATCGTTTTTATGTTGTGTTTCTTCAAGACTTTCCCTATCCTGTCCGTCACCCGAGAAATGAAAGGCAGATATGCATTAGCCACCAATAGTTGTTCATCCACGTTTTGTCGTGTGTTCATTTTGGGTCGCATGGCCCTGTCGATTTCAGATGCATTGTATTCATTCGATAGAAAGGCCGACTTGAGGTGATCCAGTTCTTGCTCGAGATGTTGTGGCTCGCAGATGTTCCGAGCACGTTCTTTTAACGTTGTTATAATTCAACGTTTTTCCCTTGGATGGTGGTTTGAGAATGCATGCAGGTACCTGTCTGTGTGTGTGGGTTTTCGGTACACTACATCTAAGAAGGCGATTTCTTGGTTTTGCTCCTTTTCCATGGTAAATTGTATGCTAGGATGTTGCGCGTTCAGATGGCCTAGGAACTGGTTAAGCTTCTCTTCTCCGTGACTCCAAACCACAAAGGTATCATCTACATATCGAAGTCATACCGCTGGTTTGTGGTAAAAAGATTCGATAGCTTTCCTCTCGAAATCCTCCATAAGGAGGTTGGCTATGATAATGATCAGGCTAAGCGGACTTCCCATAGCCACACCGTCCGTTTGCTCGTAGAAATCGCCGTTCCACAGGAAGTAACTACCAGTGAGACATGTCCGGACTCTACGGCCTACCCAAAATTCACAAACCTGAAGTCCCTACAAGACCCACAGTGAGTAAACCTGGAGAACCAACGTACAACCTAGCGAAACATCTTGCATCGCTTTTTCAACCGCATGTAGGAAAAACTAGCTCTTACGTCAAGGAGTCCACTTACTTTGTCTAGAAAATTAGGGATATAATTCTCCAACCTAAGGATATCCTGGTCAGCTTTGATGTTGTGTCTCTATTCACAAAAGTGCCATTAGCGGAATCTGTTGACATAGTTGAGCTTTTCCAGACATGTCTCACTGGTAGTTACTTCCTGTGAAACGGCGATTTCTATGAGCAAACGGACGGTGTAGCTATGGGAAGTCCTCTCAGCCCGGTCATAGCCAACTTCTTCATGGAGGATTTCAAGAGAAAAGCTATCGAATCTTTTGACCACAAACCAACGGTATAGTTTCGATATGTAGATGATACCTTCGTGGTTTGGAGTCACGGGGAAGAGAAGCTTAACCAGTTCCTAGGCCAACTGAACGCGCAACATCCTAGCATACAATTTACCATGAAAAAGGAGAAAAACCAAGAAATCGCCTTCTTAGATATACTCATAAAGGCATCTGGAGGAAAACTAAGCCACACAGTGTACCGAAAACTCACACACACAGACAGGTACCTGCATGCACTCTCAAACCACCATCCAAGGGAAAAACGTGGAATTATAACAACGTTAAAAGAACGTGCTCGGAACATCTGCGAGCCACAACATCTCGAGCAAGAACTGGAATCCCTCAAGTCGGCCTTTCTATCGAATGAATACAATGCATCTGAAATCGACAGGGCCATGCGACCCAAAACGAACACACGACAAAACATGGATGAACAGCCAGTGGTGGCTAATGCATATCTGCCTTTCATTTCTCGGATGACAGACAGGATAGGGAAAATCTTGAAGAAACACAACATAAAAACAATCTTTAAGCCAACAAGGAGAATACAGCAATCAATCAGATCAGCCAAGGTTAACAGGAACCTACTGTCAAGCGCTGGAGTCTAGCGTATACCATGCACATGTGGTAAGGTATACATAGGAACAACAAAAAGATCCATGGGAACCAGAATCAACGAGCACAAAAAAAATTGCAAACTAGGACAATCGGAAAAATCGGCAGTAGCGGAACATGCGCTTAGTGAAGGGAATCACGAAATACTAGTTGGTGAAGTCAAGCTTCTTGCACCGACTTCCGGATACCTCAATCGTCTTGTACGTGAAGCTACAAAAATCCACAAACATACGGAGAATTTTAACCAAATTTAGAACCCGATCCTCAAAAATGCAAGAAAGATTCCATTGAGTACAGAGAAAGTTCAGAATAGCCACGAGCTGCGAAGCCCCGCCCCTCCCCTACCACAACCACTCACACATAAATACAACTTGCGGTCAGGAACGCGTCAGTCTGCTACCTGAATGGGACATAGAAGCACCTCTGAGGATGCTAGCTACTCGTACTAGCGAAACGTCAGGAAGAAATGTCAACTTACGACGACCATTAAGCCCGAATGAAAACACTTTATCAATAAACCTGTGCCGCGAAAGCCTCACAAACTTTATTCCATCAAATCCTTTACTATTTCGATGTCACCTTTTTTTCTAATCAAACAGGAACTGTACATTCTGAAGTCTGAAGATGAAGTTGACGGCGAGATTGAGCCTTCCTCCTCCTTCGACATCCAGACGATGTTGGCTTCCATTCACATTTTGTGGAAAACTCCTCTCTTTTATCACTTTTCATATACATTACAGCCATCTGTTCACTTTTTCCCTTCAGGATATGCGATAAAGCCTCATCCAGTATTTTGTAATTTACCGCCGACTCCCTATTGCACTGATCTATGCCTTCAGTACTCCTCTCCCGGTCGAAGACTAATGGTAAGTATTCTTCCAAAACTAATTTGAATAAGTGACTTACCTCGTTCTTTTTCTGAATTTGCAATTTGCACTAATAGTAGAACTACTAAACATATAAAAAGCAACGTTCTGAGTTTACATCTAGGCCGTGGTATCTGAAACAAGAAAAACTCATTGTAGATAGCAATAATTTATTTAGGTTTTCCATTTATGCTTAATGGCAAACCGCTTAATATGGTAAATAGTTAAATTCATTAGATCTATTCATGCGTAACCAAAGCAAGATTTATTTGTATCGAATCGGGTACTAAATTTAAAAAATAAACAGTAAATAAAACTTTCTACTTAGCGAATTTGTCCAATTAGCGAGTTTCTGAAATTGAGTAATTTACAGATCAGATGTCACGGATATTCGATTATTTTGTAGATTTGTATATATATTTTTTGATAAATGTGCTTCCTATTAGATATGCAGCATCAAGCGAAAAGTGAAAATAAATTATGCAAAAAAAAATTAGAGTTTCCTTTCTTTGCATCATGATTTTCATTACCCCCTAACATAGGTACGCAAATTGCTGAGGAAAAAATATAAAGATACCTATACGCGATAATCAGGTCTATGATGTATACGTCAACATAGAGGAAAGTATAGATGTTGAGCTATAACATAGCTGTTAGAATAACAGTAGAGGATACATCATAGGCCTGAATATCCTTTAAAAATTTTCATTCAGCAAAATCAATATCAACAATCTGAAACCACCATAAATTCGCAAATTTAATGCCTTGTCTTGTCCCCAATGTCCTAGAACATGCCGGTAAAGTTTTTGCTAATTTACTTATAGCAAGTGAAAGTACAGCCTGTGGTAGACTTTACACATGGTCAACGCGACGTAATAAAACAAATATAACTTCATTCAGAATTATTTCAACAATTAATTTTTATTGTTAATAATTACAACGTCCATATTTGTATATTATAGTTTCCGGCACGTCGTCACTGTCTCCTTCAGGGAAGACTAGGGGCAAAATCCTAATCACCAACACCATTGCAGCGAAAAAGGCCAAGTTTTTGTAAACACTGTCTCTGGCTTTTTTTCTATCCTCATCTGTGACTTCAGTGGGAAAATTTGGGGGTAACCGTTTCATTTTTGGTCGTGCGTACAATAAATTTAAGACAGAAGATTGACAAATATATCGACAGTGAATGAATGACGGATACACCTGACTGGTGGCATGTATATGAATTTTGAAAAGTGATCCATCGCTTGTCATTCTGATCAAACTAATTCCTATGTCCCAATTTCAAGCTTGTTGCCTCATCACTTGTCGTTAGGGTGTCTCAAGTCGTAGATAATGCAGCCGGTCTGTGAAGAAGACTGGAGTATCATTCCTATGATATGAAAAGCTGAAAGTTGATGTGTCTACTCAACTGTCTAGTCAATTACTAAGACAATCTATGGATTTAAGCCTTCGGGAAATTCCAAAATATATAAGACGTTCCATTGAGGTCCCTTAGGAGAAATTTGCGATTCCTGAACACCTGACATATTCTTTGGAACAACTAAGATATACGTATACCAATCCTCAGTTTCTTGACCCTATCATGCAAAAATAATCCAACGCAACGCAGACAAATTATTGTCGATCCATGACAATTGGCTTTTCCCTCTATGTTAATCGAATCAATTGCATCTCGTACCCAGACAATGGTTAATCCACTGTCAACTTCCTACGTAGTCATTGTTTATGGTATTTTTACTTAAATATTGTACAATTTGTTTCCTTTAGAAAGCTGCCAGACAGACTTGCCCATTGTCTTGCTGGGTAATTACATTATCGCTTGTGTGTATATGATTTTCTTGCGGTTTTCGTATAGAAATATTAACTTTCGTGAAGGTTTTTCAGTCATTACAGCGGAATTCTCTTAGTTCAAGTTTGACTCAGCACCGGCAAGAATAAAAAAATCAAATATTTAAATAAATCAAACATTAATATTGTAAAAGACATACTTGGGTATTGCAAAATAGCTTGTTTGGCTTCAAGCAAAATATTCAACAAATGGTTGGCTAAATAGATTAATTATTATTCAATTGGTAGAGGAATGGTTAATAAGATAGTTTGCAATGGGAATTAAATACATTATAGCTTGTTGAGAAACTGATTCAGAATCTTTGTTAATAATAAAGGTCACTTTTAGTAGCGAGTATGAATATTTATTTGATGAATAGTTCTGTGACTTGGAAAATAGTGTTTCCACACGAAATATTTAATAAGTGAAATTTATTGGAAAAGAATCATCCATAGGCTTAAAAATATCATCGCCTATTCTTCCGTTTCATCGTTGATAAAGTAACCTAAAATAAATGATGATTCATATAGATACGGCGATCTTCCTTATTCTTGTCCTTCCGCAACTGCATTTTATATCTTCTTTTGTTGCCTCTTGAACGGTTCAAAAAAAAAAAGATACCTGTCTGACATTATCGTCTGCTGGCCTCGTTCGTGCGGTTCGGGTGTTACAAAGCCCTATATTGGGAACTGCATGGTTGACTTCCTTGTTAGCGACAACACAGTTTTTTTTTTATGCAGGACCAGTTGGTAGAACCAGAAGGCTTTATATGGTAACGTCCATGAACGAATAATAATATGATTTATAGAAAGATAGCTTTTTTTTGAGTGTTTTATCTCTCTCTTATTAGAGAGTATTGCCAGTCGATGTTAGTTTTAAATTGAAACCATAAATTAGAAAAACAAAAAAAACAATAAGAGATAACAAATACCATAATCTGAAAGATGCATATAGTAATGATATAAAAGAATACATGTAAACATGTAATGATATGTAGATAGGATAGGATTTAATCAACAAGACCAGTGGCGCAGCCAGAAATTTTGTCTGGAGGGAGCGATGCAGAAAATATTATAGGAGTTTAGTTTACACAGACCACCTATCCTTTAGAGGAGTTGCAATGTAAACTAAAAATCAAAATGTATAAGAAGTTCTAAGAGAATTTCAAGCCGCACCATTCTATGCCTGACGGTTTTTGAGAAATTTGCAAAATAACTGTGGAAGCGTGACGTCACAACCGCTCGGATACCGTAGACTCAGAGTAAAAAATCCTACGATTCTCACTTAAATAGGGATTGACTCAAATAGCTGAAGCGAAACATGGGTTTAGTTTTGAACCACAGTATGTACTATTGTCACCAAAAGTAACTGGGACAGCATCATATTAGCTCTTGTACTATTATATGAATTTTATTGTCAAATATTTGTCTCAAACTATGAATCAAATGCATTGAAATGAATGACAGTAGAATTAGTCCAGGAGATTATCATGCATTATTTTTGTCCCAGATACTTTTGGTGACGATGGTATATACACAAAAGCAGAATCTGTTGAGCTTCACATGCGAATGTGACGTCACGTCTACGTTTTGTTGCAAACACTAAAGACTGATATCTTTTGATAGAAATCCGGTAGAAAGGCGAGGTTTTCGATGTTGTTCTTGGTGTTTTTTTACATATTATAAACCAGATACGTATTTTTGGTTTACACCCCGCATAAGCTTTTTATGATATGAGCAGTTTACAGCTTTTGTCTACTCCATCTTCATTATTTTTGTATTTTTCTCTGATGCCTTGGGGGGGGAGGGGGCCGGGCCTCCTGCCCCCCCCCTGGCTGCGCCACTGAACAAGACATACCTACACATATAACTTCAATCTATTTGACATAAATGATGATCCTTGGGAAATAAATTAATGATACACTGTATTACTTGAGTGATACTATTAGTCAAATATTGGTAAAATATAATCTCTTCCGGTTTGAAAGGAAAAGTTCCTTTTAAAAGAGCCCCAGTATTTTAAACAAACCCTGGCTCGACTTTAGCATAAATTGCACAATATGCGGTCATTGAAGTCACATCTTCTACAGGGGAAAGAAATACATATTTTTAGATCTGTTCCAATGTATTATTCTTGTGAGCCTAGAATGACAAAGTTCCTAGTGTGAATCGTACCAACTGAATCCACAAAATCTTCAGCAAGTGTCAGTAACAATATTATAAATACCAGAGCCGTCCTGTATTAAAACCTAATTGTATTTTGATAATTGATAAGTTATCAATCACGACCAATCAGAAAATGATGACAATTCTTGAAGAATTTGGCTGTCATAAATAGTCATGAACCTCTGGTTCAAGCGATGAGTGAACCTTAGCAGTTGGGTTTGATGTTCCAGAGAAAAATACCATGGCGCTTCCTTCTTAGCTTGGGGAAGCGGCACTGGAATGTTCTTAAGCATTGGTCTCGACAACAAACAAAAAGATTTAGCATATCTGTTTTACTCTTACGGAGTCTTCAATTACAGAAACCTAGTTAGTGAACTTTCTCTTAAAAATAAGGTGTTCGTTTTGAGTAAGGAGCAGACATATCAACAGCTCTTTAGCTCAAGCCTGGAATGGTTCGGTTTTGAAATTTTGTCTTCAATCAAATATTCGAAAATGGTTTCTTGATATACGAGCTTTTCTCTTCTTACCAATTGTTACGATAAATTTATCATTTACGTAACATGTTCCATCTCTTCTTATTTTCATTATAACGTTGTATTTTTTCCATTTCAGAATTCAAGATAATTTCTAATATCCTAAAAATATCCATTAAATTCAAATTTAAATTCAAGTAATACAAGTGCTGCCATCTATCTACATTTGCGTAAAGTGCAAGTGTCGAGAAGTGATTTTTTAGTACTGCCATCTAGTGCCCGATGATCTATATTTCAAAGGATGATTTTTAAAATTAGTATTTGGCAGTCATTTGTATATTAATTGAAAGAAATTATATTCATCTCACTTTAAGCAAATGGATATATTTCTGTCCTTTTTTAACTTCTGATCTTTAAATATTCATTTTTGGCTTAATGATCTAATTAATTAACAGTCTTTTATTTTTGACATAACCTTAATTTAAATTACTATAATTAAACAATTAAAATAGTTTTAGTGGATTTTTATCCATTCTGTTTTATTCCATGCGGTCTTTCATTGTGATTTCATTTTGAAATGAATATGGTCTTTTGGGTGTACTCGTTTGATTGGTTCAGACTGGTTGGAATTCAGTTAAGTATAAAAAACACAGGATCGTTTTCCT